TTGAATTGTGATATTGGATTATCCTGACGACTGGAGAGAAGGAGATGAAAGTTTGAATTGAATTTGATACGTCCACTGTTTGTTGGACTGTGAATCAGAGAGATTGGCGTATGATCTAGATCGAAAGGATCCATAGTGCCAAAAGGGGGAGAACTGGGTGGGGGGGTTGGTATGCTGAAAGTTCGAGAAGAAGCGCAGCAAGGGTGTGGCTGACCCGGACCCGGAAGCGCGAAGCGCAGCCCAATCAAACGGGGCGCTCAATTGAGAGCGAAAGGCGCAACGCCCGTGGACCGCGCTGCCGGGGCAGCGAGGCGCCAGCGCCAGGCGCTGCGCGCTTCCGTCTGCGCTGTGAGCCAGACTTGTCCGGGTTCAAAATTTCCTTGGATTGTGACTTCTGTTCACAACTTGTTTGCAATACATTTGTCTATTTCACTCAAGGGGTACTCTGCTCTCCCTGTGTATGTACAGCTACATCATACAACAACAAAACCTTTCAACATTAGTCACCACAGATTCACCAATGTACGGAGTATCAAGACTGAGGATGCATGACAAAGGAAAGACAGCTCAATGGTTGGAAATGGGCTTTTTGTTGTATGATGTAGCTGGACATACATACACGGGGCCAACAAATTCCCACCCAAGAGAAATTGGCAAACATATTGCAAACAAGTTGTGAACAAAATTCACGATTCAAGGAACTTTCAAACCCAGACACCAAAATTTGGTTCAATTGAGGGTTGAACTAATTAATTCCCGCTGTGTCAATCAAGACCCTCTACCCTCAATATTTCAGCACTCATAAATCTCCAGTTGATTCATCAATGCTGCCTTCATACTTTGACTACCTGAGGAAATTGAGTGAATTGAAAGACATGATTATGAGGTGAGGTGAGGTGATATTGGTTGGTCACAAAGGCAAGTTTTGATCAATATCAATTGATCAATTGATCTGGTGATTTGCTATGTATTTACTATTAAGCTTGTATTCACCAATTTTGTATGACTTTTTTTCAAAAACTCATTGACTTCTGCAAATACTGAGCCAGACTTTTTGACAAACTCAGAAGCTTTTTGAAAAAACTCAGTCACTCTTTGAAAAAACTTGAGGGTTTTTTTCTCCACAGTCGTCAATCATGCAAAGGGTTGTACTTCTAATCATTTCCCCCTTGCCACTTAAGGAAGTTGAATGATGTTTACAGTGTGTTTGAGTCTGAAGACAGGCCTTTTCAACTAAGCTGAACTCCGAGAGAGCCTAGGAGGTACCTGGGGTAGCTTTGTAAAAGGTGGAAAGGTGTTGTTTGTGTGGCCTAAGTGACACAAATTGCTTTTTGTTTTTGAATTGGTTGGGCTTTAGAATGATCAAGAACACCTCTCACCAGTCTAATTTTGGTGATTTTTTGTTGGCTTTGATATTTGTTTAGCAATTGTCCCTGAGCATCCCTCAAAATTAATCACAACTTGATGCACTCCAGAAACTGACTGGTCAGTTTTTTGCCCAACCCCTAATGAGACCCAAACCAAGACATTAGGGATTGGATGGACACTGCTTGTTGGTGACCCAAGCTGCAGTTCACATCACATTCAATCCAAAAGTGACTGAATATCAGCCACTGTTCAAACAACATCAAAGCCAGCAATTTTTATTTTTCATTTTTTGGAAGAAAAAAAAGCTGTGTGGCTTGACACTAAGATCAGCATCCTTCTTGAGCCTATTTGCCTACCAGCTCAAAAACACTTTTCCGGCCAAACAAGCAGCCTTTTCAAAAGCCTCTTTGTTTGGCTGGCTTAATTCCTGTCACAGGTATCCATTGGGTCACACTATAGATTTGTATGTTGGCCCTGGGTAGCTCAGCAAAGTGAATTAGGTGAATCTGTGGCATCTAGTTGATAGGATTTGGCTGAATTCAGCCAAAGTCCAATAACTTCTATGGCGCCTTAAGAGCATCCGCAATCGTTTGCGTTAAATTTGACTTTAGCTAAGCTAAAGTTACAGATTGTTAACCGGGGTTAAGTTAACTCACCCCAAATTCCACACTCGTTGTCTTTAACTTGGAGTTAAAGACTTGGCCCACAGTCATCCGCTTTAGCTTGGAGCTACAAAGCACAGATTTGTGTTTTTTTCATTGCTCACACGCTCATCAGCGTCAAATTCACCATATAACCACTTTTCCTTATCATCAAACGACCGTTTTTTGAATCTCTCCAGTGCTCAATTTGTATCGTGTAAGATCAATCAACTTAGATCTGGGTTTTCATTTTCCATTCATGGCTCAACATGTATATAGATTCATTGTTGCAGAGCTACATCAACACTGTAAGATTGATAATATGTATACATTAGTGCTAGAATCAATGGTGGGTAAATGAGAATTATGATGGGGAATGGAATTGAAGTCAATATCAAAAAGTGTAACGTTGTGAAAATTGAGATGGAAATGAAAATCAAAGTCAGAGTTATGGAGGACAAGAGTTGCGAGCGAGGACCACCTCAAATTATGCCCTATGCATTGTGTGCTACGCACTGTGCACCTTGCTGGTGATGCTGGGGGGCAGACAAACTGTACAAATTTGAGATCTGCTCTGTACAAGGCTATCCACCCATACCTTTCCTTTTTGAACTCCCTCTTTGACTCTCCTTAACTTCATGATATGTAGCTCAATTGTTCAACTTAACTTGTTCTTTGGCCGCCATTGGTTGTACTTAAGTGCATGTCTCTTCGTTGGAATGCAATGAATACCTCCAATTGCTCATCAAAGTAGTCGGTTTATAATGTATTGTATGACACATAATATGTTTGATGATTGTGAAAATCGACAAAAGACCACTTCACCTTCACTGTGATATATTACAAGATATATAATGATTGATCAGCTGACCCATCAATGTGATGACTTCATAGACATTCCAAGACGGTGGTTTTGGTGGCCCTTTAGTGATAAGCCAGGTTTGCTACAGACACTGTAAGTTGAGCGGTTGAATGACCAGAAGGGTGTGAGTGGTTCCTGGAGGCCTACAATCAATCCTTCATCTAAAAACCAGATTCGTTAGCTCTAGATCCTGGTAGTTAAGCAGTTGACCGACCTTATAATGTGACTTTGGATAACTGGTGGCCCAACCCTGAAGGCTTGTCTTCCAAGTGATGACTTCAAAGAAAAAGGCATGACTCAAGAAATCCTTCAGAGAAATTTCTGGGATGTTTGTCGGTTGATGCTTCATCAAAGATCCGTAGTCGCTGGTTCCAGATGCGTCTGGACTCTGGGAGCACAGTGCATATGTAGTCCTGCATAGTCATATGTTACACAGTGCATAGCACACAATGCATAGTGCATAATTCGAGGTGGTCCTTGCTTGCAACTCTTGTCCTCCATACAGAGTTGAGGATTTGTTATGTATTGGGGGATGAGACACGGGATGATTGATCAAGTGTTGTTGCAACTTGGTGTGAGGTTGGGACTCAGAGTTAGCTAACACGTTGGTAAGCTGGGATAACTTTGTCCCAGCCTCCTGATTTTTTGTTGCAAAGCTAACTAACAATCGGTAAAAATTTGACCACTGTGGAAATTTCAAAATTGGTGAGCTAAATAGTTAGCTATTCCTGCGACTTAACCCAACGATTGCGGATGCTCTAACTTCTGGCTACAAATTGGTTGGCCTTTTGCCCAAACCCTATTACTCAAAAATCTAGTATGTCACTGTATTTCTATTGAAAATAAAGTACATACATCCTGTGTCACTCTTCCTGAATCTTCCCTACATGAGAATCAGAACATCCTCTGCCCTAAGCCTAAACCCAAACCCCTAACCACCCTAAGTTACCACTCTCTTTGTTTGCAATTGTAGCTTTCTTTGTTATCAACTTTTTGTCATCATTTGCTTATATGTTACCACCATTGATTTTTTTTCATTGTTCACTTTTTTATTGTAGTTTGTCTCTTTGAGACTGAGGTCACAGTCATTTTCTTAGAGCTTTGTTTTCTTTATCAGAAGTACTTTCTCAGAAATGATAGCTCACATGATAACCAAATCAGTGTTATGAATTGTTGTGGTCGATGTCATCCAATGTGATGATTGATATTGCCGACAAAGTTATGATTAGGAATAGCTCTTTACTTTGAATAACATCATTTGAAAGTGTTGTTTTGCTTGATTGAGTATTGATAAATGTTTATTGATGAATGTTCTTGACAATTGTGTTTTATCATATGGTAATCAATACAAACTTCCCAAATCCTTCCATTGATAATAACGGAAAGGATGGAAATTCTTATGTTGAACAAAGAACTGGTATCAAAACTGATCATTAAATGGTTAGAATTGATGAATATGATATTGAGACAATTCTTTGCTGTACATATGCCGTGATGGAGTAAAACATGGATATACCAGACTTTAAATTGACAAAGACTGCAAATTGGTGAAGGCTATTTGAGAGGTTTGACTTTTATCACTAATTTGGAAGCAAAAGGGCTGGAAAGGGTCAGTGAGGTCTTTCAGGGTTGTATAGTACTGCACCAACGGACGCCTTGAAGTTGCAGCGCCTCCCTTTAAGAAGAAATCCAAGATTTTCTAAGTCATACTGGAGGTCGGATGCTCCAACCCGCTCCAACTTACCGTCATCATCTTTCCTCACGTGTCCAGTACGGAAGAACCCAGAAAAGCGCCCCTACAACCAACCAGAATGAGAACTGCCCTGATGTCCACGATCCAATTGTTTTGGGAGTGGACACCACCCTTGGCAATATAGATCCGAGTTGGGACTCGCCCCCGGATTGAAGCGCGTTTCAACCAGACCATCGTCCGCCTCAATTTTGCTCCACTTATATCTTCACAAGCCTTAACATTGCCCACATCGACAAGTACCCATTCTTACCAGGCTCCAAAGTCATCGTATCCGTCTCACACACTTTATCTTTCGCACATCTCTCCACATTCCAATGTAAATCCCCAATCCTAATAATTGCGCTTCGAAAGGCTCTGCCACTCACAAGCTGATGACCTATCTTCTGAATCTTGATTTCGCAGCTAGATTAACACGGTCAATCAAATGAGACTCTTCCTCACTGTCGTGATCAGTTTGCTCGCCTCTATCGCATTTACTCAAGCAGATACTACCAGCCACATCTGTACTGTGGAATGGCATAGTATAAGTGGCCCCGATCACAAAGGTCACTCGCATAGTTGTACAGATCCCCAAGGCAAGAAGATCTGCACGCTTTGTAAGTGACTTATAATCTGCATTTTCCAAAATTCCGTCGTACCACACCGATATGTTGACCATCACCACTGTCTTTAGGTCAAGCTCCGTATTACACAGACCGAGAAAGTAGAAAAAAGACAGTCCTCGGGTATACAAGAAAATCCGCCACGACCATAGAGATAACTATTCAAGGTGACGGGACGCACGTAGTCTCAAGCGACCTCGTAACTCTTAGTAGTACGTCACCTTTCTCCTTAATGTGACCTGATCTACTTGATGAATTGTTGCTAAATACTCCGCCAATCTTGTTATAGAATGTACCCAATGTACTTGAGTCTTCCCTTTGGACATGGAAGGGCGCTACACGATTTGATCTCTGGCAACAACTGCAAATAACTATCAATATTTGAGAGCAACACCGCGAATCGCTAAATGCAGCATCCGTTCATGTGTGCTGCGTTTTCAATGCAACAAACTCTTCTTTTTCCCTGCCGAAATAGTATCATCCATGTTTCCTATCTTGATACATTTGCCCTTACCCTTGAAGTACTTTCATTTGCACGCGAATGTAAAAGAGCGTTGGAGAAGTCTAGGCCGTGTTTCTCAAAGCACTGTCCAGGGATATGGACCTCGGCCCCTCTGCGCCTTTTGTGTTCCATGTGATATGAAGTGCAATAATGTTATTGAGCATCACTCGCAATCGTCGTCGTTCTATTGTTGTTACAGTACGGTCACCAAATGATGTTCAACACGGAGCTATGATAAAAGATAGTTTTCCAAGAAGAACTGCAAATAAAGATGCAGAATTGTCGGATGGCACTGTGACTGATTAGTAGAGTTGCATCAGATCACGAACACCACATACACAGTCTTGTGGGAGCAACCGAATTTATGCCTCAATGGCGATCATCCTATCATATCAGGCCAGCCAGAAAGCTGAAATGTAACTTTCCACGTAGTCATAGAGGTTAACCACGTCGGGTTCACTCACTTGGACGATATCAATCTCTTTAGTTTAACCTATCAACCGTTTCATCAGGACCAACATATTATTCTGTTGCTTTAAGTCACCTAGATTCTCGATTTCCATAATTTTCGCCACTTCTTTCCGAAGGGGCATGTCTTCGTGATCGCAGCGTAATTTAACTTGGCTCAAAGTTTGTAGTATATAATTTTGATCACAATGTCAAAATGGAAGCGTTCTCCGTTACATTCCTTTGCACCACATAGACTATCAAGCTCTATTCATATGGTATGAGATGTATAGAGCATTGAGAATTCGAAGATGTTTTTTTCTTTGATGTTGTAATAAATTGGATTTTGTTATCATGAGTTGAACTAAGCTTGATTCAGAAGTGTGTCGCGATCTTTTGATGATTAAAATGCCAGCACTATACATGTAGTAGATAAAAAAGATGATTGGGTAGTCTGAAGAACAGAACGTGGTGGTTGTTTTTGCAAAAGCTTTTCCTGGATAGATTTCAAAGAGTCATATGGTAATCTGTCACCAATCTGTGAATCGTGCGTGATAGTATCCATCCAGATCACGTGATTGCCAACTTCTGTGACCTTTTCAGTCTCTTTCACTCTTCCACTTTCTTTCTCAGCAATGATCAATCTGAACTTTGACTGATTCTTCGTGAGTACATCATGTCTAGTAGTCGAACTCCAACTCGATCTCAGTCTAAAAAACGTCAACTCGATATCCCATCTCCTCATTCAAGCCCTCGAAAGCGTTCTAGTCCATTGAAGAAATCTACTAGCAATTTAACTCCTGCTAAGGAATCCTATATCAACATTGCTAACGAAGATGAAACTCCAAAGCAATCACGTACCAAACGAAGCGTAGTATTCGAGTTAAATGAAGAAGCCGATTCTTCTACTGATGAGGAGGAGGATGCTGATGCTGATCTGATGGTTCAGATGGAGGATGGTAAACAAATTGAACGTGGATTCCTGAGCTCGAAAAATTCCGAGGACGCCTACTTTATCGCACACAGTAAAATTCATCCAACCTCGTCCAATCTGTTTTCATCTCGGCCGGATTGGGAACCTTTTACAATCCCAAGTTACATTGAAGCACTCGACGATACACCCGACAAGAACAATTCCAACACTATCCATACTTCACATACCCAGCGCTGGCCTCAATGGCGTAAAGAACTTGAGAATGGGTTTTCTTTGATCTTTCACGGTCTTGGTAGCAAGCGTGTTGCTTTGAACGAATTTATGGAAGAAGCTCTCGTCAATGAAGCCGGTTGGGAAGGCTTGGTGATCAATGGATTTCAGGCTGGATCACAAGTTGGTGATGTGTTGATCGGTATTGAAGAGATTGTCAATCAAATTGATGAGACTAGTGATGGATTAGTATCTGGTCGACTGAATTCATTCGAAGTCCTAGAAGCACGTGCTCGTAAGCTATGCGCAAGTCTCAACACAACCCATACACCGATATGTGTCTTGATCCATAATTTAGATGGACGCAGCTTTCGAAACCTCCGCGCTCAGTCTATTCTCAGTATGCTAGCTGCTCAACCCAACATACATCTTCTCGCGACAATCGATCACATCTATGCGCCTTTGATCCTTCCGTCTACCCTTGCTTCTGCTCGCCCCGATACATCTGCCAGCACTGTCGGACATCTTGGAATAGGCGCATGTGGTTATAACTTTCTTTATCATCATCTTCCCACGTATTTACCCTATACGTTTGAGAGTATCCTGGATGGTACATTATCCGACTTACTCCCATCTACGATCTTCCCACCTACTGTCACTGGTTCAAATACGTCTCGGTCTGATGTACGTCAGAATGGTCCAGCAACTTCGAAATCCATCATGCATGTCTTGTCTTCCCTCACTAAAAAAGCCAAGTCATTGTTTGGTTTATTGGCTCAACATCAACTACAAGCTTATGAGGGTATCACATCGGCTCAACAAATCACCCTCGATCAACACTTTAAAAAAGGAATTCCATTGGATGAGACCCCATTAGTGGCCATGGCTAGTCGATCACTCTTTGAAGTAGCTAGAACAGACTTCGTAGCGTCTGTGGAAAGTCAGATGTCAGCTCTCCTGGTCGAATTTAGAGATCATGGCATCATCACGGGTCGCCGGGAGGCCCCTAATGGACGCGATCAACGTGAGAAAGATGATGCGGAAATGATGGAAGATGATGATGAATGGTTATGGATTGTCCTTGGGAAGGATGAGTTGAATGAGGTCATTGAAAATACGGAAGACATGTGAATTCTGCATGCGCTGGATCGCTTCTTGTGGGTCACTCATCGCTCAAACTCGTCACCAATTACTCTCAAGAAGGACATCAATGTTGAGAATCTAAAAGTGCGTGAGTATTCTTTTTGGTCACCCTGACTTGAATGATTTTCTTGTCAAAGAAAACACATGTGAACCGTTTCTGACGTTAAGTTCTTGAATCATTTAGGAGTGACGAGGACATGTTGCACGAGGAAATATGTACTTTACATGAGCACTTTAGTTTTCGATGTTCTTGCTAATTAAATTATCCATCGATGTTGAACGTAACACGGATTTCTGTAACATACCAAACTGAGTTCATCGCAGTTAGCTTTTGATTAAGGTATGCGAGGTATCCAAAGTCCGAACACCTTGAACGTGAACTCGGCAGTAGATTTCATGATGTTTTTGTCAGTCAGTTGAGTCGGCAACGAAGGAATTCAGGCTTGGAGTGTAGTGATCTGACCATATAAGAGATGTACAGATTGACTTATGCTAAGAGCAAGAAAAACACTCAGAGCAAGGTGTACTGGAGATTAACTGCTTTGTGTAGGCAGCAGAATCATATTCAGCTTAGAAATTCTGAGATGAAAGAATTAGACAAAGGAACAACTACATAAACTACATACCCTACAGGTGTTTCACTGGTTGAAACCCATTTTCATCTTGAGGTGAACTCTAATACTTTTCTTCTCTTGACTTCATCTGAATCCATCACATGCTCCTTATATAAATCAGAGATAAGTTCACACGCTCAGGCCTAGGTGCATGTTTTCATGATATGGACATCTGAGGAGCACCCTACAGAAGTGCTCCATTTATCGATAAGCTTTGTAAAGCGATTTCAAGCAATCCCAATACATATACTCTGAACTTTCCCGATTTGTATATACCCTTATATACCCCAGTTATCTTTTGCTAGCTCGATTGGTCTTGAGACGTTCTCGTAGTTCGGTAGCAAACTTGATTATAGGATGGCGATAAGGTTTTCGAAGGCGACTGATGGAAATTGTATGATTTGGAAAATCAGCAACACACATGGGAGCATCAGCGCTCATGACGTTAACTCAAATTATACCAGAGATGATAGCGTAGACTGCCTGATAGGTATCCGGGTCGAAATAGATCCGGCTGCATGTTTGCTTGAACTTCGTGGATGATGGTACCAGATTTCCTCACATGGCCTCAATGATTTGTATATGACTGTTAATACATTTGTGATAGGTTTTGCTCTATAGCCAGATCCTTGCATGTCTGCTTAATCTTGAATTCATTCATGATTTGTGCTCTGGTAGGTCAAGTCACTTTTAGATGTGAAGGGTAACAATCAAACAACCCAAATTTGATATCTGAATAAGTTGATCACCTGGTATTACATACACACATTTTTACTTCAGGCTGAGACTTGCTTCAAGCTAAGACAAAATAAATCAAGTGAGTTTTCACCTCCTTTCAGTGGTGAACAATGAGGGCACTGAAATTTGATACCTGAATCAGATGATCCCCTGTTTCACATAGTTTACACAGCATCACATACACACATCTAGCTTCAAGCTGAGAAAAATCAAATCATGTGAGTTTCAAGCCTTTTTTTGATGATAATTGGGGCACTCATATGTGATATCTGGATCAGATGACCACCTGTTTTAGTTTACACCCCATTACATACACATCTAGCTTCAAGTCAAGACAAACAATTACACAAGTTGAGTTTCTAGCTTGTAATCTTGAGTTTCTTATACCCTAACCCCACATACATACTCTCTTGGTTGCCCTGGTGCTGTGTATGTGAGTAAAGTTTGTGAATTTTTGTCAACATTTTCCAATCACTCCCTTGCTGCGGAATGATGTCATAGTTTGCAAATCACACCTTTACTGTGGAATGATGTCATAGTTTTCCAATTACTCCCTTGCTGTGGAATGATGTCATAGTTTACCAATTACTCCCTTGCTGCAGAATGATGTCATGGTTTTCCAATCACAAATGATGTCATAGTGTTCCAATCACAAATGATGTCATAGTTTTTCAATCACTCCCTTGCTGTGGAATGATGTCATAGTGTTCCAATCACAAATGATGTCATAGTGTTCCAATCACAAATGATGTCATAGTTTTTCAATCACTCCCTTGCTGTGGAATGATGTCATAGTGTTCCAATCACAAATGATGTCATAGTTTTTCAATCACTCCCTTGCTGTGGAATGATGTCATAGACAGCTGTGAGAGTATCCTTGGGATGCATTTAAGTAGAAAGCTTATGTGTTTAGGGCAGTGTTATGCTGTGTTTAATCTACTATGGTTAAATTGGCAATTTAAGTACTTACATATGGAGTCATGTGGCAATATTACATACATCTGTGTATGTAATCTAGGGGTGTGTTTGAGAGTCATTTGATGAAGTGAGTCATTGAGTCATGTTTGAGACCATATTGGTACATTAAAACTCATGATTGAGACCATATTGGCACTTAATTAAAACTCATGTTTGAGACTATATTGGCACTTAATTAAACTGCTCCTGTCCTGTATCCAAGTTACAGCAGGTTAAATTTCTCATCCAAGATAATGTGGCTTATGTTGAATTTAATTCTCACTTTAAGCTTGACCTAATGTAAAAAAATCAACACATCATCAGCTCTGATATCAGCTTAATCTCATAAGCCTAGTCTGCTCTAAGTTCTTGCTTTCAAACCTGATTAGGGTAAATTCAATCTCAATCTTTTGTTCATCTGCTGTATCACCTTGATTTCAGTTGCCCAGAAGGTATAAATACTTGTCTTCATCTCAGTGCTTTTTCCTTCCCCCCAACAAATCTCATTCATGTTTCATTTTTATTCCTGTCTTCCTCCATCAGCTCTATAGCAGACTTCTTACTCATCAACTTGACATCTTCTCTATCTTCTCTGCCTCAAATCATCAGTTTCACCTCACAATCTGACTAGATCCACTTCAAACATAACCTATAGCAGACTACTGTAGTCCTTATCTATCATCAATTTATACACATCCATAACTCAACCTCAACCTCACCCCATCCATCTCATTTAACACCTCTTATCCTTCAACTCAGCACTACCCTGGTCTGCTCCACTCTCACTCTCATCCTCCCATTGTCTGTTTCTCATCCTTATTAACCTATCTACATCGCGTCCGACCGCATCTCATTACACCTGGTGAGACAAATTTCCACTTATGTGTAGTCCACTCTGCCTACCTCCTTCGCTCGCTACAAGTCGTTCGGCTTTCGGTTCCTTCCACATCACCACTTCCTCAACCACCCCCACACTATGTAATCTCTCTACCCAGATGATTGTTTGTTGACAATCTGTCACATTGTACAGTACAGGTTCATCCAAACGTTCGATTTGTATTTGAAGTCGATCTGTGCCAAGTTCTGCAGTTTTTGTTCAGGACAAAGTACATACCGCTGCCTCATCGCGAACATCAGCTCATCGATTGAGCGGCTCAGGAACATTTGTAACTCGAAATGTAAGCGATCATGATGTTAATCACCTCATTCTATCTTTATCCTCTCCAAACACCTATTGGCGGCCCACATGCGGGCCACGACGCGACCGGCGAACAAACATCAAAACACTGCGGACTGCATGAGATGAATCATTTGATGACGCTCATCAGTCAGCCTCATCGTGGCTATCTTCACCACTCATGATGTGGATTTCAACATCAGATATGACATCGATCATTTCGATCAGTTCGCGATCCAATTCTGATGTGATCCAAGCATAGCAACTTTTTGGGTTGCGTGTGTCACCTTTTGACACAGGCGCCTAGATTGTGACATGCAATTCTTTCTCTTTACGCTCTCTTGGGTCACAGCCATGATGCCTTCACATCGATTTCATCTTTCTTTTTCGTGTCCGATACATTCAGCAAAATAGCTGCTTCTGATACAGCGGAACGCCTGCTTACTGATTGCCTCGGTCTACCTTGCAGCTTGCGGCTCTTCCTTATCCTGCACTGTCCAGATTCCGATTCATCGCTATCCGCTCGAAAGTAACTCGTGATTAATCTAACCAACATACCTGAACTTCAACATGCCCCCGCGACGTCGATTACCTAGCGAAGATCTTTCGGAATTCGATGACGAAGACGATACTGGTTCGGCCGTTGACGAACTGGGAGTCGATGAAATTCCCGGAGAAATTCAATCTGCGAACTGCAGAGTTATGTCTACCAGGGTACGTCAAACTAAGATTCGTATCATTTTAACTCGCCACTGCTGAGGTGAGGTAACCTAAAACATTACTAACCAAACCATTTCGTACGCGCTTCCTTTGGTTCCTATGTATTTCAACAGGAACTCTACCAGCAAATGTCCAAGTGAGTTCTCTTCATTTCTCGTATCAGTCCTACGTAATTTTCTCTAATTTTTGATCCACATTGTAATTTGTCTTGCAGAGGTTTGATAGATGTAGAGCCACCCTATCAACGGGATGTGGTCTGGGTCAAAGCGTAAGGCTTGAATTTCAAGATGATTTCGACGCAATATTTCTAATGCATTTGACTTCACAACAGGGCCCAATCTTCCCTCATTGACTCGATTTTCAAAAAGTAAAGTCCACTGCTCACTCCTGTCACTATCGTTGTGATTGTTCCATTTTAACGTTCTTTGTGTTTTCTATAGCAAATGGGTTCCAACTCTGCTTTTCAGCGAGAGAAAACACTCGGTGAATGTCAAGCCATTCAAAGACCAGGGTACAAGCGAAACACAGACGACTAAGACTAAGAAAACGTGGGTCTGCATGGACGGCAAACAACGATTAACAAGTATCAAGCTGTTGAGTTCACATCTTTCGCTCCTATGATTCTATCCCGTTAGCATTCCAACGTCCCTAATCATGTATCACACTACAACACAACTTCAGGTTCATCAACGGTCAGATTCCATGGATCAGGTAAGCATTCTTTAGCGCTATGCATATCAACTTATCCGTAATCTGAGATACTTGGTATTCGACTATACACAGACAACCAGGAAAATCCTGGTACTTCAAACAATCGAATCCACCCAGCCCATCACGTTTGATACTGAGTGAGGAGCTGAAAGAGACGTTCTTCAGCCGTGGTATCACCACTGCGCTATATCACGGATTGGACGAAATGCAAGAACGTGACATCTTCAGATTGGTGCAGGAGGGTAAACCTCTAACCATCGGAGAAAAGATGGCAGCCGGAACTGGGCCGTAAGTAGATCATTTGAGACGAGTCTTATGCAGAGAAGGACGCTGTACTGAATTTTGTCATCCATTGCTAATAGTTGGGCTCAGTATATCAATGAGCTCACCACCACGTATATGACTCGTGATGAGAATCATCCTGACGGTTGGGCGGGTAGAATCACCAATATGACTAGAGGGGCTGTAAGTTGAGATTTTGTTTGCGGGATGCGATTGAAGTACATAACTGACTCTTTGCTCAGGACTACAAAACTATGAGCGCTATGGTCATGTTACTTCGTGATAAGGAGAAGCACGACCCTCCAAGTTATTTCACATCTATACATGTCCAGAAAGAATTGGACGCTTTGCAAAATACACCAGTTCCGGCTAAATTGAAGAGCGAAATCAAAGTATTGCTAGATAACTTTATGAACATCTCTTTATTAGCGCCACCTGCTACTCAATTCACCATCCCTTTGAACACTCCGGAAGCAATCTTCGAACCCATCAGACGAGGCCGCAAAGCCATGATATCACCGGTAGAAATGATTTGGATTCCTTACATGATCAGTAAGCATGGACGTCAGCTGTCTACTGGCAGGCTTTTAGAGCTTATCCAATTTTTCAAAGTCGACAGTGAGTCGCTCAAACCTATTTCATTCGTCTTTTCCTCTAAATCATCACAGCTGACAGGTGTGTTTCTCATTTCAGTTCGTGCGAAATATCCTCGAGAGGTGAAAAATAACAAAGAGGTGACTCGCTACATCATCGAGTGGATCCTGAACCCTGCAAATGTTCGACGTGTGAAAGGAAAGTACAGTGGATATAAGGTTCCCCTTCTTCTAAGCGCCGGCCCCCCGAGCTCTGAAGCCACCACGCCTGGCTCTGTCAATCGTTCCGCCACAGGAGTCGAATCTCCCCCGTCTAGCAAAAGGAAGTGTAGCGCAGTACCTCCTTCTACCGGGGCAACAGCTGGACCGAGTGCACCCAACAAGCGACCTCGACAATCTGCACCAGTTCAATCATCGCAAATGAACCCTCCGGCCAGCTCCACTGCCGACTCGTCATACACTGCCAACTCCACCGGTACCCAATCCACTAGATACACCGCCAACGCGTCCACTCCGTCGACAATGTCTAACAATAACGGGCAGAGTGCGAGACCGACACCCGTAGATCCGGTCGGGACTTTGTTTGGAAATCACGTACATCCTAGACTTAATCGCATCAATCAGGATGGTCACTTACCTGGCTTGGGTGTCACAGGCATGCGAGACTCCCCTGGTTCAGAATTTGCTCAACCTCTGCACTTCGGCTCTCGCCCAAGTCCAAATTTGACAAACTTTGATTCTTCGCAAAGGAATTCCGCGCAGACCAATTTTCACGCTCTACCTCCGAGACCAAAACCACACTGGAACAATCAACCACACTGAATACACGTTGTTTGAATGTCATAGAAGAAGGAAAATGCCTTGATGACTGTCTGGTTTCCATAATCTTATCTCTTTGATTCGTTTTCTCTATCTATCATCCAAAATCCAAAACACATGCGAATCCTTGGTCTCGTGCTATTGATTGTGACTGACAACTTCAAATCCAATTGCAGAAAATCTTCATTTGTCATCCTGTTTCAATTTCTTTTGTGTTATGTATGTTGGGGAAAAAATTATTGTTCAATCTTCTTGATAAGAAATTTTGTGTTTGAACAATCACATCCCCTTTTTCCACCATCTCTTTTCGTCTTTTTTCTCCATCTATCATCCCAAACCAAAAACACATGTGAATCCTTGGTATCGTCCTACAATTGATTGCCACTAACAATTGTAAATCCAATTTCAGAAAATATTCATGTTATCCTGTTTCAATTTCTTTTGTGTTATGTATGTCTTGGGGGAATAATCGTTGTCCGATTTTCTTGATATGAAATTTTGTGTTTGAACAATTACATCCCCATTTTTGCTGTGTTTGCTAGTCTTTCAGATCTTGAGTGTTAGGCTCTTGTTTTGCTTTACATGGTCAGGTCAAACAGCCCAAACCATATCAAATTTGAAATAGTCTTTGATGGGAATACATGTATCACCCAATAGTCATATTCTACATAGGAGTTCTTCTCAATTATGTATGAAATCTTTTCAAAACATAAAGTGTAGAAGTCTGTACATTTTCTTTGATGAAATAAGAATTGAATTGTCTCTCAAAGTCTCCATGATATTGATATTGAAAATGAAAGCAAATAATTCATGAGAGTCACAAGGTAAGCTCAGGGGACTGTTTCCTATTTGTATATCTTGGGTTGGTGATCACGGAGGTGGTGTCTATGTACCAAAAATGAGCATGATGATGAAAATCGAGTTTTTGCCAAGTTGAAATGCAGTTTTGTCAAGTTTATGACATAGAGTGACTTAGTGTTAAGTTGCTTATAATTTTGAACTCAGCATGTAAACTGAAATGCCCTCTTTACCTTTCTTCCAGTCAACAACCACTGATTCCTCACACCATCAACTTTCCTTCATCATGTCATCAACTCATAAAATATCAATCTCAACTCTTACTACTCTCTTCAGTCTATTACTATCTTCATTCTATCATTCATCATCATCGACTTCAATCCAATCACCATTTCAATTATCATCAATTTCATCAAGACCAACAACAACAACAACAACACCGCCCCTTTCATCTCAGACTGTCACTTTCATCGACTTACTCTCAAATTCAACCTCATATTCAAGTTTACTTTACCTAGTTCAGCGTGCTCGTTTGGTACCTATCATCAACCTCCTCAATTCTTCAACTTTCTTTGCACCAACAAATGATGCGATCGAAACTCATCCTTTACTTTCACTCGCACTCAATCCTGAATCCCATCAAGCTTCCTCAAATCCTGATAACATTCAACTTGAACTTCGACAAACACTCCTATATCACTTCCTTAACTTCTCATTACCTTCATCAATTCCAAGTGATACGCCGGCCATGCTCGAAACACTTCTCTTCCCACTTCCAGTCAATCAATCCATCGTCCCTCGCCACCCTGGTGAAACACCTGTTGAATCTCCACCTAGTTTGCTAGGTGGAAAAGGCCAAAAGCTGCGGGCTATCCAGCGTGACGAAAAAGTCTATCTAGAAGTTGACTCAAATGGTGAAAACGGTACCTTGCTCCGGCTTAATGAAAGCCAACTGGCTTCCAATGGAATTCTCATCCCACTCGATCGTGTCTTGACACCTCCACCTCGACTTTCTGCTCTCATTCGATCTACGCCTCAACTTTCGATTTTGGCCGAAGTCTTATCTGAAGATTTTTTTGATCAACTTGACTCAACACCACATCTCACCATCTTTGCTCCTGAGAATGAAGCCTGGAACAGTTTGGATCCTATTGAACTTAGTTATCTGAAGACAAACTTTAGTTCCGATGACGCAATCAAGGTCTTTCAAAGTTTCAGTTCTCCTGCTGGCTTACCACAAGATCAGCCTGGTTATTATCATCAACTATTGCAAGCCGTCCGTCAAGCCAATGAGCCGGTCCCCGTTACAACTACTCAAGGTCATCAGCTTTCAGTAGATGTCGACCCTCGCACCGAGACTCTCACAGTCAATGGTACCAAAATCACTGGCCATGATCTGCTTACCAACAATGGTCAGTGTTCATTATCTTTTCTTTTATTTTTAGTAGTTTAAAGCTTGGTGCACCTTTCTGACTTGGTTTGGATATTTTTAGGCGTTCTACATCTCGTTCCTCAACTATTCCTTCCTGACGGTACCGTCACACTATCACTCGAAAAATATCTTCTCGCATTGAATTGTACCAAACTGGTCTCCTTATTCCGATCTGCCAATCTTTCTACAACATATCTGGGCAACTCAACTGTCGAACCTTACACTATCCTTGCTCCACGAGACGATGTTTTTGACGGCTTTGATCCGAGTCTCTCCGGGGCACCGTCTGATCGATGGGCTACATTACCAGCAAATGACTCCCAAGACTTACGTGACGTGCTCAAGTATCATGTGGTCCGTGGCGTACATCCGCCTGAAGAGCTGAGCGATGGAATGTTACTCAGCACCGAGCTCGACCTCAAACGTACCAACGGTAGTCTTAAGCAACAGATATTAGTCTCAGTTTCGGCAAGCGACGGAAAAGGCACATCTAGGTCAGACAAAAAGCGCTCTCTGATTGGCTTTGGTGGCGTGAACGTGGTTGGAGTCGAACCGGTTCGGGTCGGCAATTCATTGATCTATCTGATCTCCCAGATCATTGAACGACCTTCAGATTTGTTAGAAGTCGCGTTATCAGATTTAAAACTTTCAACTTGCGTTGCCTCAATCTTTGCGGCAGGAATTGATGAAGAATTGAAGACGTTTCCCGGCTTGAGTTACTTTATTCCAACTAACAAGGCTTTCGAATCACTTGGCCTGATCATGGATTATTTACTCTTAGGAAAATCGAAATCGGATTTAGCTCGACTCTTGAGATATCATGCTATTCAAGAAGTTGTGTACCTTCGTAAGATTCCAGTAGGCGATAGTCATCGGTATCCTACCTTGGAAGGAACTGAGATTTATATATCAAAGCCTGATGGAGATAATGTGACTTTGCATGGTCCTACATCGCATGGCTTACCACTGAATGGTGAAATTCGTGATTCGGAAGTGGTGAACAAACACGATCGACTTATCGAAACTGGAAGTTTGAATGTGATTAATCAAGTTGAACTTCCGGCCAGTCTTGACATTGATATATCGAAATTGATGGCTGGAGCAAAAGCCTCAACAATGGTAGATTTGATCAAAGCTAGTAATATGAGTTGGGTTTTACATAAGAATTTAAGTGGTCTTCCTGATCAAGATCAAGAAAGAAACGCAAGATTTGAAAATAGTTATACTGTGCTTTGTCCAACTGATGAAGCCTTTACGAAGATCAACTTGACTTATTATCTTGAAAGTCCGATCTTATTGAAATCATTGGTGATGCAACACATTATTCCTACTAAACCGCCTTCAGCGGGTAACGTAAAATCACGACCGGATCTTAAACCTGCACCTTTTCATCCTTTGGTCTTAGGTGATGGGATCGTATATAGTACTCTTTTGAGTCGTAGTGAAGGTGGACCAAGTGGATATGGAGATGTAAGTTTAAGAATGAATACGATTCTAGAAAAGAATTCAGAAGAGACGAATGAGGATCAAGCCAAATGGTTAATTGGAATCAAAGGAGCAAGAGGTACGAATGGAGATCATGATTCAGCCAGAATCTTAAACTATGGTAGAGTGACACCAATCTTGATGGAAGATGATCAAGTCTTTGTTTCATTAGCTGGAGGGGTCTTAAGTTTAAATAAAGTACTTGAACCTTATGAACCGAATTGGTGGGAAAGATGGGGTCAAAGTCTGGTGGGTTGGATCATTGTTTTGGGGTTTGTTGGGGCTTTGAGTTTTTTGGTTTGGAGACTTTGGATTAAGAAAAAGTGGGTTGAGGGTTTCTGTTTTTTGTTTGTTTGTTGAATGATGAATGAAGAATTGATGAGTTGATTTGATGTTTTTTTTAAAAATAGGAATCATAGTACTGGATATCAATTTTTAGAACCAATGGAAGAGTAAACGTTTTGCGGGGAGGGAGGGTTTGTTTATTGAGAAAAATCAAAGGTCTTTTGAGTCTTTGTATCATGTTTTTTTTAGTTGTGATGAACTGAATTAAGTTTATTAGAACTTTTGGAATACCACCTATCTTTCTTTCTTTCTTTTTGATTCAGTTTCTTTTTTTAAGTTGAAATCAGTTTTGAGTCAATCAGTATTCTTTTTTTTTATTTTTTATCTCATTTTCTTGCCCGAAACTGATTTGGTACTTTTTTTTCGCTTCAAATAAAAAGTTGTATGTTAAAAAATGAGCATTATTTGGTTGTAAGCTAAAAGGATTATTTAAGAAAACAAAAACAGAAAATTGATTTGGTTTTTTTGATTGATTTGCTTTTTTGATTGATTGTTGATGTAAAGGATTTAATAAGATTAAGATGTTGTAATTTTTTTTCTTTCGTGTATTTTTCTTTTATTTTTATAAACATGGAATTGAAATTAAATAGTTGATTGGGTGTTTTGAAATCATTCTCCTTTGAATGAAAAAGTTCTTTTGAGAAAAAGTCTGGTTGGTTTTTCTTTTTGATCACTTGGATGTATGAAGAAGGCAAACAATTGTAAGCTTACACAAATTTCAAGTTCTTTTCTTTATAACACTACTTGAGGATTGGTATGAGATAACCTTTGAACCTCTCAATCATTTATAATGAAAGTATGAAATCAAATTGATAAAAGTTGATTTAGATAGCTTTTAAACCTTTAAGATAGGTTTATGTATAGATCAAAGGTTACACCATTTCATTCATGACTACATAATCAAACTCTCAAAAGGTCTCAATTATAAAAAAGATGTACTTTGAAAAGATAAAATCAGATATAAAAAAATTGAAATTGAAATTGTCCAGATTATCACACGTTACACTTTGATTGCTCTTTGCTTCTTTGTACAAACACAACACAACACCAAACTTGTCCATAATTCCAAAAAAAGAAAAAAAAGAAAAAAGAAAAATGTATGACCAAACAAATTTAGAAACAAATAAAAACAAAAAAGAACCAAGACTAAGACCAAGACTGAGACCAGAAAGAAAAGATAAGATTAGATAGATTGGTTTGTTACATATATATAATGAAGAATATCTCAAAGACCAAAAAGAAAATGATGACAGATTGACCCTGAAAGACTTTGATTGTTACTTTACATGAACTAATTCGACTAATTCGACTAAATAAGACAAACACACATATTCGTTACTGTGATTACTACTACTACTGATTTGATTTGGTTGATCTAAAAAGGTGACTGAAGAGAACAAGGATTTCACTAACGATTACATAAGTGTTGGAAACCCGATGGGAAAAAAGTCCAGCTTTGAAGAAGAGGTGAGCGTGGTTTGAATAATTATAATGGTCGTGGAAGGAGTTACGTTAGGGTTTGAGAGGTAAATATATATAGTATAGGAGAATCGTAAAACAAGAGATCGGGCTTTGAGATCATCATTTCGACTTAGGATCTGGTGTTTATCGTATTGAATGAAATAAGCCAATGAAGTAGTAAATTGAAAGGTAGAGATGATCAAGATGTAAGAAGGTATTCATCTGATTCACAAAAGATTCCAAGTCCCCCCAAAAAAGTAATCAAAACCCAGGACCGATCAAAGCTCTTTTATGAGGAGAGATAGCAGAAGCAGGTTGATTAGGGTACCATCTCATTGGTAAATTTGGAATAGGATTAGAATGAGAAGGTTTGAGTGAGGTAGTGATGATCGATGATCGATCTTCTTCTTCAATGATTTGATGAATCAACCAAAGAATCGGACTACAGAAAAGGATGATCAAGCTGATGGTTAGGATCACCAAGAGGATCGTAGCTGAGGTGATCGATGCAAGGCTTGAGTATCGACTTGGAGTGATTTGAGAGGTTTGGGAATGGATTCCTGCAATGGCTGTTAGAGTTAGATAAGCACCTGTTGTACGAAGTAAGTATTTTAAAGGTGTGATCGATGATGATGTTGGTGATGAAGTGAGAGTGATGAGTGCGTAGATGAGTTTGAATGAGAGTAGGAATCCAATCAGAGCGATTTGGAGATGTAGGTTAGGAGTGAATTTCTCAGTATAATAAATTAAGCTTGATGTGATTGATAAGTGTTGACTACAGAATGGTAAACAATTCGATAGAGATTGATGATTGAGTTTTAAGATCGTATTGAGATTAAGTATACGAGGTAATAAATCAAAACATAAGAAGGTAAACATGATTCCATCTATGAGAAGAGTCAGGAAGATTTGAAAGTTTGAATTGATCTTGTTAAGATGAATGTGTTTGTTTGATAATCGTTCGGTTTCATTAAAGATCACTTCTGTGGTTAATGGTGATGATTTCTTTGGTCTTGATTTATGAATCTGATTAAAGTATGGTTTTGTTGAGATGGGTTTTGTTGAAGATGACATTTTGCTGATGATGATGATGATGATGATAGATTGAGAATGATGATGGATGAAATGGTAAATGATGAGAATGGTAATCAGCTTGTTGGATGGTAAACTTCAAAAAACCGTGAGAGCAGTTTAAAGTGCTGTGTGCATATATTCCTAATTGGTTTTAAACTACTAAATTTTGAATTTCTAAACCCTATCTCTAATCTTATGTAACTTTCGATTTCTTTTTTCTTTGTTCCTTTTTCCTTTGAAGAACCGTTGCCCTGAATCTGATCATCCGTTTGGTCCCTTTAAGTAGGATCCCATCCAAACAAAATCATTAACTTTCTTCAGTACGGTTTTGAAGTTTGGTGATGTAGTCCCGCGGAAATACTTTGATCTCAGGGAAAAGTTGGATTCTTTGGAAAACTCAGAAACATTTGACCAACTTTGAATCCAAGCGTTAATTCCCTTGTGGGATTCGTTTTCTCATTTCCCTATGATGAGAATGACCAAGGCAGGTCAACTTTAGGGTAAGAGTTGTCTAGGAAACTTTAACTTCTAATCTTTGGAGATTGGTTTTGAGAAACCGAGTTGGATATCTGGACAAGGGGTCAAGCTGCTTTTACAAATGAGAGTCAAAAACAATCAAGCCTTTGTAGATTGAGTTAACAAGTTTAATAGATGTCGTACAAAGCCTTTTCTCAAGAAAAAGTTTGTAATTTGTAAGATGGAAGACATTCCAGAATATTTACAATGCCGCCCAGATTTCCAGATTTTGAGCAGCTTGATCAATAGGAGACACTATTTGTAGCTGATCTTGAGAAAATCCAATTAGTAAATTAAAAAGACCAAATCATAAAACTTGCCAATCTGAACCATCCTAGAAACATACTTTATTTTCATTCTTTATATTTGTTATCTCTCTCTCTTTGTCTGGCTTTAGACATGGATTTATATTTGTCCTCAACTACAAATCGCTGGTTTCATTGATCATCTGATCTGTATCACACAGATCAAAATATTGACTAAGATGAAATATATCCTGACTTACATATCTATCATATTTCACTTTAGCACATTCTCTTTTATAAAAGGTTTTGATTGATAATTAGTCAACTGATATGACTTAAAGGGGATATTGGTTGAAATATGACACAAATTCATGAGGATGCGTAGCATCGTCACTTGATTGTTCTCAGTGACGATTTATGCACACTTTGTTCCATTAGATTCCCACTAAGCCAGAGTGGGATTCCTTGTTCAATCAATCTTAGGAACATTCACAACACATACACAGATAGGTTTAGAGAAAATAAATGTACAAAGATATCAGAGTGGTTCTTGTTTTTTTATCAAACTGTCTTGAGCAATACATATTTAAAAAAAGGATTTAATTGAAGAAGAGAACAAGAAGTTTGAAACAAAGAAAAGAAGAATATTAAATTGAGTATAGATGAGAAAAAAAGGATTAAAGTTGAAAGATTATCATAGATAAGTTTATTGACTTAAATGTAAAACAAAGGATGATCTTGGAAGAAGAAAGCTATAAAAAAAGTTTAGATAGCAGAGATGATAATAGGATTATCAAAAAACAAAGGTCGATCGTTTTGTAATAAATCATTCGAACGTTGTCTTCGATGTCCTTTTTCACATTCAGCTTTTCGGATGGCTTCTGCTTGTAATTCTTCTATTGGTTCTTGAAATCGACTTTCTTCAACTTCAATTGGTTCTGTTCTTGAGAATGGTGCTTCGAATGATGTGATTGGTTGGTTCAGATTAGATTGTAGTGATGAGAATGAAGGTTTATGAGATATAGAGCTTGGTGTTGAAGTACGGCAAAGTGTGAGTTGACTAAATGAACCCAACATAGGAAGCTTTTCTTGGGTGGTAGGAGTATGTTCTATCAGAGCGTTACTGAGATCAGGACGAGACCTTGACTTTTTGAGCTTGAGAACTGATTGACAAATCATCTTGATCGTTCGGGCTGAAGGACGCGAATAAGATTCTGTTTGAGATTTAGAGTATGAAGTTGAAGAACAACTATGCTCAGATGTGGTTTCTAGTGAAGGGTATTCTGACGGTTCAAGCTCTAGGATCGGGGAACGTAAGCTTGGTGACAAAAAGATCGGCTCGCATTCTTCTCGAGGAATACCGATGGAAAGAGCATGAGATGCAGGCACAGGAGTAAATCCTGGTGGAAAGGGACGCTTGGACGTTCTCATTGGTGACCTACGACCCATGACGCGTGTGGTAGGTGTCAATGTATACTAAAGATGAACAAATGGTCAGCTATGCGGCAGTGAAAAGAAATTATCTTGAACACACTTGAACTTGAAGAAGCCGGTTTGAACGATGTCGCAAAAGTCGGATTGATGGTCTGGCAAGTAGTACGCAAGAAATGCAAACTTGTTGAAGATTATTTGAGCTTCGTTATATACAAACAGTTGATTCCGAAGATGTGAACTTGATAGCTGATAGTTTGGATGAATAACCTTGAGTGAAGGGAAAGAGTCAAGTTGGACATTTTTAGGAAGCTGATCAACTATACATCAACTTCACGACGTGATTCTTCATGAGGAGAAGCGCCAGTAGGATCGAAGACAAACGAAACGTGTGTGATAGGCTTAGCGACGAGTTAGTATGTCAGCCACACCAGCCAAGTTGTCATCGAGATGAAAACACACTAGTGCTACACCACACCACTGCTGAGGCTCAGATGTTTTGTAGTTCAGGTTCTTCTTGATCACCCATGCGGCCTCACGTATGTAGCTCGAAATGGATCTATGCAATCTGTTTGCTAGCTGTTTGCGAATCCTTGCATTCTTGATCAGTGTTCTCTGTCGAATTCTAAAATCAACAAAAAAAAATGTAAAGCACTCTCGGGGTTTCCAGGTTGCCGTCATACATACCAAGCCATCGTGCAGCCCAACCTTGACTAGATCCATAAAATCAAAAGCTTGGGTCAAAGTGGTTTCTAGTTTTCTTCAATTCTTTTACCTCGGGGGAATTCAGAAATTTGGACATTCTTATCATCCTCATCCCCATCTTTGTGTTTCTTTGTTTCCTTGGTAAAGTTCATGCACATCGCGGCAAATCTGGAGTACCTTGAAGGATTGCCCTCAAATTTTGGATTTGTATGTCACTCATATTGACGGGAAAACCCCTGCTTGCAGTTTATGGGTGAGTCTAGTCTGAGGGGAAATGATCTTACACATGTATCGCTTTCTTGAACAAGATACAGGATTGTGTCACGTGAGTGGGACTAGCAATCATGGCTTAAACCAAGACCAAGTTGAAGCACGATCTGATTTGCATCTTTTTGAGCTAGCATGCCAATAAGTAAGCAAGATTTAACAGCATGCTTCAGTTTGGAATTACTTCACTTAGGATGAAGAGTCAAGTAAACACTTCTTGCCCCTGCAGCTGGCTGATCTTCATTCAAAAGGTATAATATCAAGATGAGTCCCAATTAAGATCTCCCTTGTAAGACACCAACATTGAAGGAGGCACTCAAAGATAGGTAGGTAGCCTCAAAATTGATTTTCCGGTTGGAAGAATGATCTTCAACATGTTTATATACATTTTCCGCAAACTAAAATCTAACGAGTCACCGTGTAAAGGACAAGAAGGGAGCAGTGGGCGCCAGGCACAAAAACCTCCAATTATCAAACAAAACAAGCAAGAGAAATGCATAATACTAGAACAGATTTTACAGTTACTTCCAAAAGATACTTAATGCAAAAAGACTATGTTAGGTGTCGAGTTTTGTACAAAGCATTTCCATTTACATTTTCCTCTGGAAAGAACATCATCTGTGAAAATAATCATCTGTGAACCGCAGTGAAAAGGTATAGCCCAATTGGGCTAACGAACTTGACTCGAGAAGACTATGGAGTTCCAGAAGAGAAAGAAAAACGAGCAAAAAAAGATGTGAACGAAGGATAAAGCAAGCGGACAAGAAAAAGATGAATGATCCAAAAAAACTCTATAAACGATCCAAAAAAAGATAATGCAGCCAGAGGAAGGAACGAAATGCAAACTACGTATCAAACCGAGAGAAAAAATCGCAATGGTGGGTCTTCCAAAGTCAAAAGGGAAAGCACCACATGCCGGAATTCTAGTCACCGCTCCTCGTGCCACTGAAAGGACTCGACGTTTCCGCCGGCTGAGCTTGATCGTTTGTGTGGTTCAGCTCAGCTTTTTGTCGAGGAAGAGACGATGCTAGCTCGTTTTCTTTATTCTTTTTGCCTTTCCCCCGTTTACGTACCGAGGGTTGGTAATTGCACTCTCTCGAGCGTCGTGAACAGTGTGCACACGGACGTTTGCCGTCACACTGTTATAACACGATACAAGTCAGTTGATCAATTAGCTTTTTGAAAGTTTTCAAGTGGATCAATTTACTAACCCGAAGCTTGCGAATCCGACAGAAGTCACAACTAATGAGCTGTCGTGGTAGTCGAGGATTGCCTTTCTTAGTTAAACCCATGGGACGAAGTGACTGAGCTTGTAGCGAAAAATTGTGCGAGATTCCAAATTGATCACACGACGGTGGGGCGCTTTTAGGGGGCGAAGGCCACTCAGGACCAGATAAGCTTCCAAGGAACGAGGCGACGTTGCCATGGATTCCCGCTACATCCGAAGGACGGCAGAGCGCATAGAGTAATGTCGCGGGATCTGATGATTGGCACGGTCCCATCGAAGATGGCGTATAAGCATGCTTGGTTCCTGAATGATCAAATCCAGAGGACGAAAAAGGGTGAGACGAGTGTGGAGTAATGGGGGATAGCTCGCTGTGGGATTCGAATGAGTGCCGCTGGGCCCGATCCTGCACTGGGCTTCGAAGAGAGAGCTGGGAAGGCAATTGATGAGCCAATTGGGAAGCGTCAAAGAGCTCGCTAGTCCGTGGTGCCGTGTGAGGTGAAGCCGTCGACTCAGGTCGAGAAAACGCGCTAGCGAACGGCGAAAAGGGATGATAGCTAGCAGATACTGGCGAGAACTCAGGAGCATGCGTAGAACGATGTTGCCAGCCAGCTTGCGCGTTCAAGGCCGGCGGAGGGGGCGCTCGACTGCCCCGCAAAGCGGAGCCGTCGCCCACTGTCATCGAAAATGTGCGAGCGCAGTTGTCATTCCTGCTCAGTCGCTGTCCCTGCGGTGGAGAGACTTCATTTGCAGAAAATGTTGCAGGATAAGATGGCCGGTGGGTGTAATGATTTCTAGACAATTCAACAGGTGATGTGGAGGGTGTCATTGAGCTGGGAAGACTGCCATCATGCGGTGCTGAAGTTGGAAAACACATGTCGAGACCTCCACCATCTGAAATCCTCAGTTTCTTTGTACGTATCCCCGAAAGCTGTTCCATCGAAGGAGCTTCAACCCCTAGACTCGGCGTTGTCGCTTGCGAGCGACCGGGTTGCAATGCCCACATTTGATCAAGTCCAAAAGTGGCCTGCGTGCCCACAGCTTGTGTGGGCATATTCTCCTGACGTTCGGGTATAGGCAAGTTCTGGTTCTGGAAACCTTCATAACACCGCTCAACATCAGAACTTAGAGGTGGCAATCGAGTTGAATGCGAGGGTGTCAGGCTAGTAGGAGGATCGGCATCGCGTATTGAAGAAAGATTCAGAGGAAGTGGATGACGATATAGCTCCGAAGACGAGGACGAGGCTGAAGAGGAGGCTGAAGAGGCTACATAATTTCCGGTCCGAAAGGGAAGAGCGGGCGAGAGATTCGTGCCTTTCCAGTCAGTCCTGGGCAGTGAAGGGGTAGGGACGGAAGGTGAAAATTGGAACAAGTGTGCGCTGAGCGGATCCCGGACGTTGAGTTGGTGTGGCAGACCCTCGTTCATTTTGCGACCAGTGATGAAAGGTAAAGGATCCTGGTTCCGTGTCGTGGATAGAATGCGCGCGTGCTCGATGAGTGTGTGAACGAGCAGGTCCGCAGATCAGGAAAACAGACTTGAGGTACCAAGAGAATCGAGTAGTGGGAGACGCAAAACGGAAGCTGAAAGCATAGATTGACAATCAATTTTGGGTTCTGTTGCAGTCGAGTTGCGGAGCCTATTGGAATATTTATTTCCACGGAAAGTTCACCATAAAAGACAAAAGAAGCAGTCACGCACACTGATCAGGAGAAAGTTCCTTGATGGACGAGAGACTAGCTGACGCGCGTGCCTGGAGCCTAATCGAGAAGACGAGGCACGGTCTTACATAGAATCATTTAGCATTTGAAATGAATGCGTCTCTAGCCCTCATGCAAAACCAACTCACAATGCAATCAACAGATCTCCTTCGATCAGATATATTGTCCTGTAGTGTGACAAAAGGCTGGATCAATGCCAAACTTTTGGTAAGTTTTATCATGCGTGAATGAGCGAGTGTCTGAAATTCTTTATCATTCAGAGTTCAGTGCTCACATTGATGACCTGCTATTTGCTGTTGTCTGCTACCTACAAGGTAGGGACTTTCAATGTGCCGAAGCTAGCTGATGTTCGGTGAAAATGTTCTCAAGTTATGGGTCCAATCAACCAGCAGCGCCAAACAACTGAGAATTCGAGTCGAGGTGTTGTGAATTAAGGCCTGGCCGAGGGTAGCAAATCGGGGGCAAGAGGTCGTGACCGGACGAATGACAACGGTTTTCTCACACAAAGGGTGCCGAGGGTATAGACGCAAGAGTCGGAGGTATTTGCGAGCAAAGTCGCAGAGGAAAAGGAGGGCAGCGATAATTTGATCGCTCAAAAACTTTGAGGATGCTGGGCCTCGTTGAGCTTTGGTGGGGACAGAGAGTAAAAACAGTGTGAGAGGAAATGACGTTGTAGAAAGAAGCGGGCTGCAGCAGGCAAGGGATGTGTTGATGATGCCAGAGTTTAAAAGGCTTACAAACAAGAAATGAGTCGGGTTGAACATGGATTCTTTGCACACGATATACAATACATCGGACATTCTCTTCCAAGTTTTTTCGTGTACATACATACCGATCATTCAATTCGAGGAGTTAAAATAAATTGATTTTATGGTCGAGGTCATGAGAGTCTGAAAGTGAGCTTCAACGTAAAAAATGTTTTGGTGACATCGAAGGCAGCTTTAGGACTTCGCTATTAAGTAAAATGCCATTAAGAAAATAATGTGACTGCACGGTGTGTGACTAAGACGAGCTGATCATGACGCCAGTGAACTGTGACTCATGATCAAGGCCATCAAAGGGAGCACCCTAAATCAAGAGTTCATCGAGACTCGAGAGAGCTCGAGAGCCATCAATAAATCAATGTGGACTGAGATGAACTCTGGTGAACTCTGGTGAACTCTAAACATATGGCAAACACGTATTTGAACATCAGATCTAGTCGAGGTAAAGTCCATCTGATTTCCATGTGATACTGCACACATTTATAGACTTCCATCACGAGAGCTTCCACCAGCTTCAGCTCTCCTCGAGTCCTCCATCTTACAAAGCCTTCAACTTCACCCGTGGCATACAGTGGGTAAACCCGAGTACGTGTTCCAAGCCACCCTGCATAGAGCTTTGGGTCCGAAATTTTTGAGATTTTTTTGCCATTTTTTCTGCTTTTTTTGGCGGGAGAAGAAGGTCGAGGGGTGGTGCTAGGTTGCAAAAGTTTGGTTTTTTTTTCAAAAAAAGGCAAATTTGGAGGTTATTTGCCACTTGAGCCACCATATTCATCAAATTATGGGCCTAGTGCGTTGCTAAGTAGCTAGCTAGGTACCTAATTGAGGCCTAGGTCCGAAAATCCAAACCCCTAAAAGAGTAAAATCATATTTTTGGTCTCCAAAACCATATTCCTAGATTCATCAAAGCAATACCTTTTCAATGGTCTGGGTGCCAGTCTCAAACATTCAGATTGAGTGCCCCGACATTGCCCCAAAAGGTGAAATTGGATTTTGCAGGGCAGGTCGGAACACGTACTCGGGTTTACCCACTGTACTAGATACTACAACACTAAATCACTTTTGTACTAAATTACAATCAACTATATCTGAAGTTCAAAATAGCAAGACCCAGCAAGACCCCCAACCACAATCTTGGCCCATCTTGGCTTGGCAGACTCATGAGGACTCATGACATATGTTGCTGAAATTTTCGAAATTCCGCTTCGGGGAATTTCCGGCCGAGCTTGGAGCACCGCTTGAGGGTGGAGCAGCCTGCTCTCTGCACCGTCGCATGCCATCAGACAAAAGACGAACAAATCAGCATCTGAATTCGGGTCTAACTTACGGGTGAAATGAGTAACAAGCTGTAACAACGGCCTGCTTGTTGTACATCAAGGGTTGGGTTACCCATTGTATTTGAATTTAGACTTCGTTTGAAGATGTCATTGGGCATGGAGTTGCAATAATTTGGATGGTCATAATTAAAGAACATGGAGTAAGGAAGCTGAGGGCCGCTGTTCCTAGACAAAGCATAAGCCTAGGGGAAATACCAATTATATGCTACGTGTGTCCAGACTTGGGACAATGATTATGTAGAAGCTGAGTTGGCAGGTAGCACATATGAAAGGCAACAACATCTTTTTCCAAATAACAACATTTAGTTTTCTCTAGCGAGCGAGTTTTCATTTTTGACTCAAAAACTGGCTCTGGCTCTGACGCCGCGAGAGTGAATCTAGCAATTGTAGAGTGCATAGCCCGATTAGCTGACACCCTCGCTCGCTGTGCGTGTAATGCGCTGGCGACACCGGCAGAGGGTGAAAGGGGTTTGACAGCATTATCATGGTAGGATGGAGGGGTGCTGGGTAAATGGTACACCAACCCACTTTTGATCAAAAACTGAGGTAAGTCTGGTTGACAACTAGTATAGCTTTTGGGGTGTGATAAACAAAACAAGTCATGATGTGTGGTAACGGAAGTGCTGTTCATAAACCACAATGAATCACATTAGTGAAATCAAACATGTCCTCTTCTTCCAAACTTTCTCAGTCAGAAGGTCTCCCAAAATGAGCATTGAAGCTGTGAGATGTGTCACAAAGAAAGCTGTGCAATCAATTGTTCCTTCCGCCGCGGTCTTACTATACATACATCCAAGATCCAGGTCCCCATCATGTCATGACACCTTGGAATGTGTTGGATATATTTATTTGTACCAGTAGCAATTGTGGCTGTGGCAGTATTAGATGGCAGAAGTCCCTTGCTCTTGTAAGTATGTATAACTTATCTAGCCATTGAATACCCTACATTGGTAAATGTGAGATGAGCTTGCCAACATAGTTGAAGGCACCCCAAGGTACATCAATAAATTCACTGAACACTCTTGCTTAACAAAGTCCCTCAATACTGACACCTGGAGTTAAATTAAGCTTGTGCAATCATGGGCATTGCCAACATCAAGAGTCCTATCCAGAAAAGCAAACATGTGTATCAGGCAAGACCCATTCATTGGAGTTTTTGTCAGATTCAGATGACTTCTGTTGCTCTTTGATTATTGAGGATGATACCTTGTTACAGAATTATGGAGATGAGAGTGTTTTCTTGACCTCAAGAATCAAGTTCTCCTTCTATCTGAAGGATAGATTAGCTAGGGGCGCACCCATGCTTTGGACTTTTGAGACACACCCTTTTTGTGCCTTTTGCACCGCACCCACAACATGAGTGATTCTGTGTGTACCAATCTGTTCCATTGGAATATAATCACTTTTAGTTAGGCACATTCAGATTTCTTTTTATTGTTCAGTTCCAATAGTGGCTCTCAAAGTAGACCTGGTTCCAAGAAAACCCGGTTGACCCAGTGGCTTTTTGGCGGTAACTTTGTGTATCAACTTGACATTTGTTGACAGGTCCCAGCCAAAAAGTCACTGGGTTGACTGGGTTTTTTGCAACCGGGTCAACTCTGAGATCCACTGATGTTTCTTAAGTGGATATTTGGATTGTAGTTGTGTTCTAACTTTTCTACTTACAATTAGCTACTGTGCTCAGGGTCTACATTAGTCTTAAGGACATTGAGCAATGCAACTTTGTTTTAATATTTTAAAGCTACAATGCCTTTGTGGGGGGACATGCCACAAGTCCTGTGACTAGTTAGCATCTCTGAAAGGTAGGGTGAAGGGGCAGGTGGGAGGAAAAAGTAAAATGTCTGAATAAAAGGTGAATATGGTGTTGTTACCTATTGCTTATTGATGGTAATGATTGTGGGAGTATTAGTCTCTATCAAAGGAGCTTTTGAATTCCATTGAACTACTGTGGGAAATCTTCTTGATCTTGGTACTACCCATTGGAATTTTCCACCTCATTTTTGGACTTATCTCTGCCAGAAACAAAAAACCTTTACATCTTATGATAGAAAAAAATGAAAGATAGAAAAAAATTGAAAGATAGAAAGATAGAGATAAATTTTTGATGATGATTTTTTATTTATTTGAGTCTTAGATTTTGAATGCCTTGTTCATGTAAGTGAGGTCCAAGTGGTTTAGTTAATATATTGGCTCTCTGTGATTTGGTGTCAATCCAATGCAAGAATAATGATCCTTTATGAATTTGTTTGTTGATGTAGTAATATTCTCTATCCGTGTGTCTGGTTTGCTTATTTGAGGAATTTCACTGGCTACATGTGTTGCTGATGTTTTATCACAATGTATATTTACTGCACCAAGCTCACCTGTTATGTCTTCAATGAGGTTTCTTATCCAGAGAGTGTCTCGACAAGTGTTCCCCATTGCCATGTACAAGCCTATTTGGAAAAGATACGACACATTAGTTGGGGCCAGCAGAGTAAATGTGTCGTATCTTTTCCAAATAGACTTGTACTTGGCATGAAAGGTAGAGGTAGCAACACACATTTATTCTTTTGAAGTCCATGATATTGGACAGTTGAGAAAATAAGTGATGAAACCATGTGTCAATA